CTCCGTTTATGGGGACACACTCTCTGCACCCAAGATTCCTCCGGTAAATTCTCTTGTCTCACTGGAGATTGGGGCTCTTCCTCTATGGCATGCTCTGGTGATGGCGCTGCTCCTGCCACTCTGGCCAAATTCACGTTAAACGTTGCAGGAGGGCTTGATTTTTACGATGTCAGTCTTGTGGACGGCTATAGTCTGCCCATGATGGTGGCCCCACCGGGCGGGACCAGAGGGAACTGCTTGTCCACCGTATGCGCTGCCGACTCAAACGAGGATTGTCTGGTGGAGCTTAAGGTTATTGATGAGAGTAATGAACGGGTGGTGGTGGCACCCAAGAGCGCTTGTGATGCGTTCGGAAACGACCAGTACAGCTGCAGGGGCGCGTACGCGTCACCGGACACTTCCAAGCTCAGCACTGACATGAAATTCTTCAAGAACGCCTGCCCTCAAGCTTATAGCTATGCAAATGACGATGGGACCAGCACATTCACCTGTAGCGGCGCGGATTACGTCGTTACTTTCTGTCCTGGTCTTCCAACCAGGTAATTAAATTTTTAACCAATTGGCTAATTCAATCCCATTTCCATGTTCTTATACCATTAACAAATCAATTCCACAGGAGCAAGGTTTTTCTAAAAAAATTAAATTATTAGTTTTTTTCCATAATGATGAGCTATAAAGAGGAATAATCCTTTTTTTTCCCATTAAATCTCTTCTCATTTAACTTAAAATTCTCACCTATAATCTCATCCTCCAAAAAATTGGAGTACTTTTTGGAAAAAAAAAAATATAGTCCTGGAAGTTCACATTGGAAAAGCAAATCTATTCTTAAATAGGAAGATAGGGACGGAGAGATAGGGACACATCCATCCCTCACGAGTAATGATAAATTGTTATTTTAAATAATAAATTATTTATTATTTAATGTATGAGGTTACGTATTAAATAATAAATAATTTATTTTGATTGATAATTTAAAAAAATAATTTATAATTATTTTTTATAAGAGCAGATCTTTCTCTACCCTATTTAGAGTAGATTTAGGAGTTTGGCCTAGTGAAAAATGCGGTTTCAAATAATACTCTGTTTCTGTACATATACGGGAACATTAAATTGTGAATTGTAACTTTCTTTTGGATGTTTTTAGATTGAATTTGATAGCAACTGCAGCGAGGCCTATTCTGGAAGAGACAGCTGCCGCAAAAAAGCCCTGCAGTACTTCACCTACAACCGCTACTAGTGACGTTGTTAATTTTCTTCCTCGTTACCCCAGGAGTCTGCTGGGTAAACCATCAGATGTTAATTTCAACGCTCCACCATCAACCCCGAATCAGAAGAGCTGGAATTTGGATAAGGAAGACCCACCAAGCCCTCCTGCGCCAACTGGCAATCCACCGGTCCATGAATAAGGTTCAGTGCACCAGTTTTAATGAATGAAGTTTGTGTAGTATGATAAAAACCATGAAGAAGGTCTAGTCCACAATGAATGAAGTTTGTGTGATTTGATAAAAGGAAACATAAATCTATTCTGATCCTTATGTCTGGCTTGGTGGTTAAGATTAAGATTATTGGTTAATGAGAATTACCTTTTGTAAGTTATGTTTTTGAGCTCCATGAGATTCCCTTTTTCCAGTCTTCCTTTTTAGGTAGTTTTATCTTTTTCAGCTTGTTTGATTAGAATAAAATATAAAAAAATTAAAATAATATATAAATAAAAAAATTTCCTTTTCTCCTCACATTTTCTCCCCTCTCCTATGCTCTCCTCCTCTCTTCTCAAATCGAGGAAAATATGATTTCAATCAAGACAATACAAAAATGCAGCCTGAATTATGAATGTACTTGCATATCTTTCATAAATCTTAAGTTTCAATAAATATTTTCTGTAAAGTGTTTTACTAGTTAATAATATTATGATAAATCTTCCCATTTTCAGTCAAGACAACACAAGGTGCACTGCAAATTATATATAATTTTTGTTTGGTAAAAAAGATTGTATTTTTTTGGGCAAGAACAAATAAAAAAAATGAACAATTTTTTTCTTTTTTCCATTTTTTTGTTCACATTGAAGCTAGTTGTTCTATAATACAGAGGTTTGAACTTACTTTTACAATAAATCAAGGCTTGTAGGTAATGGGTATTAACTTGTAAACTCTTACTCCCACCGTTCCAAGATATATAACTGTTGTTTTTTGACACAAAATATATTTTAAATTAATTATTATTTTTAATTGTTTAAAGTATACAAATATCATTTTCTTGTTTTAACTTTTAAGGTATATTTGATTTGACCAAAATGTCACTATTATATTAGGTGATTTCCATCTCTATAAATCATTTAGACCTCTGACTAAAAAAGATTATCATAAATTTCCCTGTTTCTATCTATATATTAATCTCTCTCAAAGTCATTTTACAAGGATATCCTTTTAAGTTCAATCCTAGGTAACTATATTAATGCACTAAATAAAGGAATACTAGAAAGGAGAATTAAAAAATCTAGAAAATAGCTTTATAAGAGGGAAGTTTTTATATTTTTGTCTTTAATTCTTTTCACCAATACAATTTTCATCTTGGTTTCAAAAGTATTAAATGCTCATGCAAAACGTAAATAGTGGAAGAAAGTACAATTTCATTTAGAAAACACTTATTTTCTATACCTTGGAGAGGCTTGGTATAACAAATTCACTCTTTTATATCATCAAGCATGCTCCAAGTATGTCTGTCTCTATTTTCTCATTTAATTACTATTTAATGTCAAGTTTCTGAATTTTTTTTCTTTATTTAGTAAAACCAATTCCATTTACAAGTTCTACAGCAATTTTAAGTTTAATCAAAGGTACATTTTCAATGTTGCTATTTACATTCTGAATTAAAAAGAATATGTTATTTCTATTGTTAATTAATACTACACATTTAATCCATATAAGAATAGGAAAATAGTAAAAAAAGAATAAAAACAATAGGTTGGGAAGATAATTTCTCACTTATATTCATGGGGATTGATGCATAAAGCAAATACATTAGATTTAATTGGAGTTATTTCAAGATTGATTTTATTTATTTAGCGTAAGATCTGAATGTAATTTATAATTTTGAAAGTTAAGTCCTTTGGTTATGTTTGTTTATTTCCTATTTATTTCTTGATTAATATTTGAATCTTCACCTTAATTGATTTTCTTATTTCCTTCTCATTTGGACTATTAGGATTATTTTTTGGTTTTGTATTTAATACTGGATAATGTTGCTCTATGACCTATCTAAGAGTAGGATTCTAATGTTTTCTTGGGCATTTAACTTGAGGGTGAAACTAATTTGGCTATGTTAATTGCATACGATTGTCTTAACTTATGAATTTTGTTTGAGGTTAAGAGGGTTCAACGCTTTTTTATCAACTTTTTGTATGAGAAGATTTTGAAAGATTAAGGGTTTGAGAAAAAGACATGTTATGTTTTAAACACATTGATTTCTACCCCTTTTTTTTTTTAATAGCAAATCAACCAGGAACTACAACAAGAATGCAATGCTCTGCCTTAATACTTAGCAATATTTATCAACTAAACAATAAATAATAAGTAAAGAAGTAATAGAGACTAGGAACGTATAGGGGGCCTTATTGAATTTTTTTGCTCATTAGAATATTGGGTTCTTTGTGACATTTGCTTTTAGGATTTACTTAAGAATGACAAGTCAATTTCAGAAAATAGAAATTCTAAAAACAATGGACAACTGGAATGGACCAAAGGACGTGGAAGAAAGAAAGGTATGCCTGAAATTGGAACTGAATATTGTTCAATCCTTTATTTCACAAAATTTTGTAAAAATTATTGGATTTACTTGAATAGCAGGAAAATTGAAGCCATATGAGGCCATCATAATTACAACAAACAATTGTGAAGTTCATTCTTGAAGAGAATAGGGCTCCTCTTCAACAAAGGAGGAAAAGAAGGTCGTCCATGTGCTGGCAAGGTTGAGAAAGTAGGGGAATTCTGAGCAACAAAGGAT